ACGAGAGACGCATCTCACGCATCTGTTATCCAATAGCGAGCCACAACCTCATGTAATGTAACACTATTAGGAAAGTTGAATCTGAATAACTGAATTAAAACTACTAAACACTTATGTTAGAAGAATTGATAATGATACACAGTACAAAAACTAGTTGGAAATTTGCATTATTCTATATGATTTAAATTGATTTAAATTGATTTGAATCAATTATTCTACAGGTGAAAAAAATAGTACTGTATATGGCTTATTATAATTCTAGAATTCCATTATTATTATCTACCGGATGTTAAGGTACAAACATCGGAATCTTAATGAGGGCCTGTGTCCTAAGAGAGATGTATGTGGCTTCAAATTTCTTAAGTATGGCAAAAGGCTTTTCTTAATGTTTAGCTTTATAATGATAACGAGATTCTTGCATGAATTCTTTATTATGTAAATATTGGATAGCGTGAATTATATACTAATTTTTTTTATGTAGAATTAAAGAAAATAAGCATCTGTGGCTAATTCTTTTTAGCATTACATTTGTCCTCATCAAACAACAAATAAGCCATATTTAAACAAATATAAAATTACATGCCGCAGTCAAAACATAACCAGCAATTTATTTACATTGCCACAAAATGTGAACGCGAAATAAGTACAGGTACGACAAAAGTTATAACAAACTATCGCTATAGATTAACGAAATAATCCAGCTCTTTTAGCATCCAAGGATTCGGCTTATGCCTCTTTCGAGGCTTAGTCTTTATACACTTTTACCTGAACGCGAAATATTCAAATGGCCTATCGTTCTTTTATTATAATATAATTCTCGTCGCTAAACCTTTCAGATTAATGTATAAGCCATAATTATTTATATGCACAAGCTTTCTCAAAAATTCTCATTTTTGTCAAAAGTTGAATTTACGGCGTATTTTCAACACATTTAAAGTTTAATATTCAATATTACTAGGTCTTAAATAAGATTTTCGCGTCTTCGTTTAGAAGAACTCAATACTTGTACGTATCCTAGTTATAGGGTTCTTGCTTTTTTTAGAAAATCCGTGCAAATATAAATCTTTTTTTTCTTCGTGAAAAAAGAATTGATAAAATAATGGAAGATAGTACGAAAAGAATTTGGATTCAAAGTTTGGCAGAGTTTCTTGGAACTGCATATTTTATATTCTTTGGTAATAGATAGACCATCTTTTTTTGGATTGTTTTTTAGTAAAAATAATTAAGTAATACACTTTGAGCGTTTTATGACGGTAGTATATCTTATTGTACATAGGAGTTGGAGGTGGCCTTGCACTCTCAAATAATATCACGGATACTTATCCCGGTGTGTAAGTATATATCTTTATCAATTTCATAATCAATGCGAAACTCGCGTACACCTATTTATTAATCAAAGAATTACTATATTATTTTCAGTGGACTCATCGCGGGGCCGATTGCATGGGGATTTTCACTCGTGGTAAACGTTTGGATTTGGGCCCCAATTTCGGGCGGAGGTCAGATTTATAGATATTTTCGAAATCATATTATCCAACGCATATTACATTTTTCTAAACCTTCACCATTAATTGTAGTGCTTAATCCAGCTATCACCATCGGATTAATGATCATTGAAGCCGAATTTCGTTACACCAAAGGAATTCTATATATTATTGCACAGTTCTTAGGTGCTGTACTTGGTGCATATTTAATTGAAGTTGTTCAACCTGGTCCAGATGGTGGCGCTACTACTTTGGTATTGTAATATAAAGTTGTTCCCCCGGGCCCGAGGGGGGGGCCAACTATTTGGTTTTTTAAAAAAAATTTTTTACAAAATAAAAAAAAAAAAAAAAAAAAAAACTAAAGATGCTATATTTTATTTTATTTTCCTTACAAAATATAAGGCTGAAGGAACTACAATCCTGGAAGGATTGTTGTTAGAAACGTTTTGTACTTCAATACTTACATTAGCTGTGTTCATGCTTGCTATCGAAAAACATGCAAAATTTAGATGGAGTAAAGAACATGAGACACCAAAAAGGGATGAAACAGTTGGATAATATGATTTCGAAAATA